CCATTTTGCATTCCCACCAGCAACGGGTAAGGGTTCCAAATTCTCCCACATCCTCACCAACATTTGTTATTTTCTGTTTTTTTATCTTAGCCATCCTAGTGGGAATGAAATGATACCTCACTGTGGTTCTGATTTGCATCTCTCTGATGGCTACTGATGCCGAGCATCTTTTCGTGTGTCTAGTGGCCATTTGAATGTCCTCTTCTATTCAGTTTTTTTGCTCATTTTATGGTTGTGTTATTTGTCTTTTTGTTGTTAAGCTGTTGAAGTTTTATATATATATTGGTTATTAGATTCTTGTAAGATATCTGGTTTCCAAAGATATTCTCCCAGTTGGTAGTTTGTCTTTTCACTTTTTTGGTAAAGTCTTTTGATGAACAAAAGTTTTTAATTTTTATGAGGTCCCATTTATTTATTTTGTCTTTTGTCATTATATTAGATAATTCATTGCTAAAAGCTAGGCCTGACAGCATTGCCCCTGCTTTTTCTTCTAAGAATATTATAGTTTTAGTTTGCATATTTACGTTCTTAGTCCATTTTGAATTTGTTTTTGTGTATGGTGTCAGGCATGGATCAAATTTCAAGTTTCTGCAAATCCAATTTTTCCAGCACCATTTATTGAATAGACCCTTCTTTCCACATTGAATGGACTTAGCACCCTTGTCAAAAATCAGTTAACCATAGATGTATGGGTTTATTCCTGGACTCTCACTTCTACTCCATTGGTCTGTGTGTCTATTGTTATACCAGTACCAGGCCATTTTGATTACTGTATCTGTATAGTATGTTTTAAAATCAGGAAATGTGAGTCCTCCTACTTTGTTCTTCTCTTTCAACATTGTTTTAGGTATTGGGACCTCTTGCCATTCCATATAAAGTTGAGGATTAGTTTTCCTATTTCTGTAAAGAAGGCTATTGGAATTTTGACCAAGATTGTGTTGAATCTATAGATCGCTTTGGGTAGTACTGATGTCTTAACAATATTAAGTCTTCCAGTCCGTGAACATGGAACATCTTTTCATTTATTTGAGTCTTTTTTAATCTCTTTCAGCAGGTTTTATAGTTTTCATTTTATAAGTCCTTCACATCCCTGGTTAGATTTATTCCTAGGTATTTTATTCTTTTAGATGCTGCTATAAATGGAATTGTTTCCCTAATTTCCCTAGCAGATTTCTCATTGCTAGTGTATAGAAACTCAACTGATTTGTTTGTCGATCTTGTACCCTGCAACTTTGCTAAATTCCTCTACTAGTGGTAGACATTTTCTTATTGACTCTGGGAATTTATACGTATAGGATCACATCATTTGCAAATAGAGACATTTTTACTTCTTTTCCAATCTGGATACTGTTTATTTCTTTTTCTTGTCTTATTGCTAGGACTTCTAATACAATATTGAATAGAAGTGGTAAGAGCAGGCACTCTTGTCTTATTCTTAATTTCAAGAGTTAAGTGTAATGTTGGCTGTTGGCTTTTCATATATGCCCTGAATCATACTGAGGAATTTCCCTTCTATTCCAATCTTCTTTAGGGTTTTCCTCAAGAAAGGGTGCTGGATTTTATCAAATGCTTTTTCTGCATCCATAGAGATGATCATGTGGTTCTTTTGCTTTGTTCTACTGATGTGGTATATTATGTTGATTGGTTTTCTTATGTTGAACTATGCCTGCATTCCTGGAATAAATCCCACTTAATCATGGTATATGACTGTGGGGATATATGCCATTTAAACGTGGCTGTACTATTGACAACTGCAGCCCCCACAGGCCTCT